GGCATGCCAGTCCTTGAAACAGGCCAACTACGGCTGAAGAAAGGAGTCTCAGAAAGAAGCCAATGGAGAAGGCCACAGGGCAGAGAGTGGGAAGAATAAATCTTTGCTCTTTATTGAGCTTTTTCCATTTATCTCCTTTTTGTTTTTTGTTGTTGTTTGTTTGCTTTTGCAGTACTGGGGGTTGGACCCAGAGCCTTTGCACTGAGCTACATCTGCAGCCCTTTTTTTTACTTTTGAGACAAAGCTTTACCAAGCTGGTAAATTACCAAGATTAGGCTCAAATTTGTGATCCTCCTGCCTCAGCCTCCTAGAGTACTGGGACTGTAGGCAAGTGCATCACATATTGAGCTATTACTAAGCTTCTGGATTTTGCTGTGAAGCAATGGCCTCATTGTTAAATTTCCTCACTATTTTTGGCAGTTTGAGCTTTCTTTGTTATTTGCATCCAAAGCATGTGAAATGATGTATGGGCTAAAAATCAGGCGAACAAAGACTGTTCTCACAAATTCACCTACAGCTGGTCTGATTTCAAATTTCCACAAATCAATTAAATTCATATTTAAGGTCCTGAAAGCTCACAGAGATTATCTAAAACTTAGGGAAAAAATGTAATACTATTGACATAAACAGCCAACAGTATTTTTTTTCTAAATTAAGAGCTAGTAAACTCTTTCTGTAAATGAGCATACAGCAAACATTTGAAATTTTCTGAGTCATATGGTCTTTGCCATTACAGCCCCAAAGCAGCCACAGACTATCTGTAAATGAATCGCTACTATATGTTCCAATAAAACTTTACTTACAAAAACAGGCAAGGAGGGTGCACCACCTCCAGTCTACCCTTGCTCTAAATGGATAACAGCATGAGGCTATCTTTCAAACAGATCTTCTTACTAGAACTCAAAAATAGTTAATTTCAAATGCACATAAAGTATGAATAAGTCACCAGTATTTCTTGATCATAAAATCACTTTATGTAAAAAGTTAATCACCTCGTATACATTAACTAGAAATTAATAAATGTTAAAAATGGAAAAAGCAGGCCTGAGACATGGCCAGCTAGCTAGGCAATTGAGCATGGCTTGTCAGTCATGGAATCCAGAAAACATGCTCAAGTCCTGCACCTGGAACCAATCAGGAAGTTTATCGTTAATTCTTCTAGTTAGAACCCACGTAGGTTTTTCATAGGACAGCCCAGATCTGACATCAGTCTACTAAGTGGTTAGCACAAAAAAAGATGGTGGCCAATTTTCTCATGGCACTGTGCTCTTTTTTTACACTGGTCTGCTTTCAACCTGCAGAGTATACTCCTTTTCCTAAGTTTCTTTTAAGTTGCGTCTACGGCTATGCCATCCTGAACGTGCCCGATCCCATCTAAGTTTCTTTTAAACTGCAGAACATATTTCTTTTCCTACCTTTAATAAATGTAATTCAAAATTATAGTTTTAAAAGATCACCTTTTTTTTTTAAGTTTTTGATGGGTTTCTTTGGATTTTGAGACGTCTCCCTTTGTAGTGCAGGCTGGCCTTGAGCTTACTATGCAGCTGGTGTTAAACTCACTACATAGCACATGCTGGTCCAGACCTCATAGTGATCTTCCAGCCTCAGCCTCCTGGGTGCTGGGATGATAGGTGGGTGTCAACTCACTCAGTCAGAGCACTGTTATTATACTACAAAAAAATACTTATAAAATCTATCTACTAAATAAAACTAAGTGGTCTAGTGAAACTGCCAGGAATACTACGCATAATAGCTGTTCGAAAAAAGTCACACATGGTGCCCATGAATCCATGTCTTCCAAGAAGCTGACACCAGAGTTCATCATTAAAAAAATAAAGAAGTTAATCATATAGACCATTATTTCTTTCCAAACAGCTTTCAAATAAAAAAGATTCATACAACACCTGGACGCTTCACTACCCCACATCATAACTTTTTTAAAAAAGCACCATTTTCCATATAATTATGTACCGTACTCTAGAGAGAAAAAAAATCCTAAATTTCCTCTTCAGTCATTAATCAAGAAAATTTGCACATACACTTACACAAACATTTTTGAGAATTAGTACATATAGGATATTCCATTGTATAATTTCATTCCAAAGAAAGCCTGAGAAACACAATTTACTCCATGATTAAAGTAATAAATGATCTTCCACTGTGTTACCATCTAACCTTTTAACAGACTTTAAAAAATGATACAAATATTCCTATCCTTGCATAACTAGAGGCATTTTCTATATATACATAACAAGAAATGGCTAGCAGCAATTACCTATGAAAAAAAGAATTAGGGCTGAGGTGGTTTCTACAGACTGAAGTGAATTTTTACCTTTCCCTGTCTTTCTCAGTTCAAACTGCCATAAAACATATTACAGTACAGTACTTTAATATTTTCAAAAATACTTTAAAAGTATACATTCGCTGTAAAATAGTAACATATCAGGAAGTTACCCAAATAGGCCAGTTGGGATTTCTCTAAAATTCACTAAAGATGGAGGTGCTGAGGTCAGATTGGCCTTCTACTACCGAAAAGATGAAGAACACATCCTAGGTACAAAAGTCAATGTTTAGTGCTTAGTAACACCAAGAAATCTCATAACATGTAAAATGTACAACTATAGCAACCCCGGCCAGCTCCACTGAATCTTGTACCCAGGTTAGCATCACAGATTTTGGTCTGTGGGACCTTCAAGATACCCAAGAGTGCTTTTCCTGACTTCCCAGATTCTCAACAGTAACATGAAATTCTGTTAGCTAGACTGCCTGGATAAGCTCCACCAGTACTCCTCACTCTTCACAACCTTCATGGAACATGCTATTTAGGCTCAGTCTTTGGGGAATACTGCTTAAGATGTGTCCCTATTTTTCAATGGCTCACATTATAATATGTAAAATTAAAAGTAGATGAAAATACAGGACCCACTATTATTCAACATTTCGGACTATTAAATTGTACATGGAGGGGCTGGGGATTTAGCTCAGCAGCATAAGCACCTGCCTTGCAAACAGGCAGTCGTGAGTTCGATCCCTGGTACCGATAAAAACGAAAAAGACAAAAAAAAAAAAAAAAAAAAATTGTACATGGATATTAAAAGACTGAGAACTGAAAGTCAAAATATACAGGTTTTCAACAACCTGCCAAAGATAAACATGAATAACAAAAAATTCTGTTCCTCCTCAGAATGGTGAAGCAATAAACAACAACAAAAAAAACTCAACTTTCCCATTCCTCAGGCCTGACAATCAGGGAGATAAGAAACTGCAAATCCTATCATTTCCTACAATCACAGACAAATGAATAATCACTTTAATTTCCAGTTAAGTAATTACAGTTTTCAAAAAATAGCAGAGATAACCTATTTTCCCCACAATAAAATTAACTACCTCTTTCAGTAGTTCTGAGCCTCTCTTCCAGTGCTCTTCCTTATATGTGGATACAAGAGTGGGGGGAAAAAGCCACTAGGGCAAGAATTTCAACGTTTTAGAGTGCTATAACCAAATCTCATTTATACAAAAATAACTCGGTCTAGGGGCTAGGGATTTAGCTTAGTGGCATAAGCGCCTGCCTGGCAAGTTGCAAGGTTGTGAGTTCGATCCTTGGCATCAAATAAATAAATCTGTCTACCTAGTCTTTCCTTACTAATATTAACTGATTATTCAATTCAAAACTATAGAGAAATGACTAAGAAAGTCCTTTTTATAGCATACACTTAACTTCAAAAAGTACCCTGCATTTTGTCATATTTGAAGTAAATTATTAGTTCTGGATCATAAAAGCACATTGGTTAAAGCAAAGAAATTGTGAAAGTTAAAAAAACAAAATTCAATCCTAAATATCAGTCTGTAATCGAAAATCAAATACTGCTACTTTAGCAAATGGATTAAATCATTATTTACTTAGCAAAATGAACGGGGCAATTGTTCATTCCAAGCTCAAGCCAACATACAAGAAGAGTATTTAGTGTTCGAAAAAATGTATACTCCGTCAACAATAGATTGTGAGGTTTAAGCCAAGTACTCATTTATCAAACAGCCTTATTATCTTATGTCTCACGTTTATCTCACGCCAGTCCTACTGCCACAGTGCTGGCAAGGAGCTCCCTCACTAAATAGGTCTCAAGTGTATTTTAATTTCCTTTTCTTTTCGGTTTTTGTTGAGACAGGAACCCACTACGTAGTCCAGGCACGTCTTGAACTGCCTGTGTAGTCTAAGACTAGCCCAAAACCAATCCTCCTGCCTCAGCCTCCTGTTAAATGCATTTGACGAAACCGATTTTTTCAACGTATTTCCAAGCTCATTAATAATCACTCTTCAAAAAAGAAAAAACCACATCCAAAAAACGAGAGGAAAAAAGTGCAAGTGCTGGGAACGTTTAGGGAACATGACGCCTCTGTGTAGGACCTGCTGCTCGGTGTAAACCGAAACGCGGTGCTGCACGGCTCCCTTTCAAAGTTAGGTGCGCACAACTCCAATCCCTTCCGAGCCAAGCCGACCGTGAGGCGCTCAACTTTGCCGGCAGAGCCGGAGAAAGTTCCCGGGCGGGGAGGCAGCCGCAGGCGCAGCAGGTAGAGCGGCGAGCCGGCGCGGCGGCGCGGGGGCCGGGTGCGCGCGGCGGGCGCCCCAACCCGGTCACGCAGCATCCCCGCGGCCCCGGGCGGAGCCCGCGCTCCCCAGCACCCCGCGCCCTCCTCGCACGCCGGGCCGGGGCCACCGCGCCCGCCCGCCCGCACCGCGCGAGGCAGCCGCCGGCGCCCCGGGAGTCTCCGCAGAGTCCCCTCGGGACGGACGCGCGGCCGCCGGCCCACCCGGCCCTCCAGGCCCAGCCCGAGCGGACCGCGGGCCGCCAGGCTGCGCGCCTCGGCCCGGACAGCGCTCGCGCGGGCGGCCTGGCCGAGCCTGCCGGCGGCTCCGCAGCGGGCCCGCAACTTCCCGCCGCCAACTCAGCGTCCCCGGCGGAGCCCGAGCTGGAGGGGGAAGGGCAGGCGCGGCGGCTTACCGAGAGCGGCGTCCCGCCCGCCGTCCGGGGGCTGAGGCGCTGCGCGGTGGCGCCGGCGTCGCGGCCGCGGCTGGGAGGAGAGTCGCCGGGACGAGCGCGGGCCCGCGGGCGAGCAGAGGAGAGGCGCCGCCGCCGCCGCCGCAGACAGCTCGGCAATATGGCCGCCCGGCGCCTCCTGGGGGGGCGGGGCTGCCCGCGCCCCCCGCGCCCCGCCCCCGCCCCTCCCCCACGGCCCTCCCCTCCCCCTCTCCCCTCAGGCGCGGGTCGGGGGCGGGCCGCGGGCCGGGCGGGGCCGCGCGGGGCCGCGCGGGGTCGCTCGGGGTCGGCAGACGCGGGGCCGCGCTGCGCCCGGAGCCCCTGAGGAGGCGGGCGCGGGGGGCCGGGCGCCCGCGGGGAGGCCGCAGCCCGGCCGGCGCCCGCCGGTGGAAACTCGAAACTCCCGCCGGCGCGGCGAGCTCGCCGCGGGCTCTGCGCCGCCCCGGGCCGGGCCGGAGTCGGGAGCGGTCCCCGTGCGGCCGGGCCCGCCCCAAGAAGGTGGGTGTGCAGCGGGCGGCCTTGACGCCACCGCAGCTTTTAACCAGCGGCACGGATCGTGCTCTTCCAGGAGCAGTTTTAACCCCCGAAGCCTGCTGCATATGGCGCCAGTCGGCGGTGCGAATTTTAATCCGGACAAAGATGTGCGATCGGTTTCATCACCCGGGACGATCCTTGGCTGTTGCATGAAGTAGGTTCAAAAGGAAAAGGTGAAAGCAGGGCCCAAGGAGCAGGCAGCCTGAATCGCTGTAGTTATGCAGAGAGGTGGTCAGAGCCTAACGCTTTGCGGTCCACCCACTTTAGTACTAACAGGGACCAGATAAATAGCTGACTTCTGGGTCAGCGTTCCGAATCTCCGGGCTCCACCAAAGCAGATTAGCCTGTCTTACCTGGACTGCAATGCTTTATTAAATTTACCTTCTGTAAATAAACTACATTCAAATAAAACTTGAGTGTTAACTTTTATAGAAAAAATAATTTGTACCCTTCCTGCCCTAACATTTGCCTTTGCTGAGACAGTAGTTTTTCCAAGAACTCTTTCCAAATCGCTTTCACTAACCCCTCCTCTTCAGTGAGTTTCCACTTTTGCCCTTTGAAACCGCTAGGGACGCTTAAAAGCCCCAAGAGAAACAAGGGTTAAACCCAGAGATCTTAACATTGCAAATTGCTTCAGGATAGGAACCAGGTGTGCTGTCAGAGACTACCAACAGATTACTCCCTGACTTTGGGCTCAAGAGTTATCCAGGTAATTGTTCATCCTTTAAGCCCAGATCGCTTGCACAAAAATAGTCAGATTGGCCCTCTAATCAAACAAGTCAGTAGGCTACTTTTGCAATTGAAAAGGAAAGATTAAATTTTGTTGGTCATGTGTCAATGCTGTGAAAAACTCTAAGTGACTTAATGATTACAGTAACCCCGTGTGTGGGATAAATAGCGACATTTTTTTAAAAATGAAAAAAAAATGATTAAAGAGAACGTCAAAGGGTTAAGTAATGTATGCAGTGGTGTCAGAGCTATGACCAAACTTACATATGTATTTAACTTTGTTTTAGCCTAAGATTCTGAAAGGCAAATAGAACAGAAATTCTAACTTTTAAGTTGGTTATTAATATAAATATATTATTAATATATTTAAGTAGTTCAAAAGGATACTCATATTTGTAGGACTGTAAACTGAAATAACTTCTTTAGAAAGCAGTTGAGCATTGTGGTTCAATCTTTAAGAATGTTCATAGAACCAAAAATCAGCTTCCTATACCTAGACTGATTGACTGATTTATTTTTTGAGACAAGGTCTTGCTAGTAGGCTAGGCCCCGTGTTGGCAAAGCTTTTAGAGATGGATGGCCAAACTACAATTCAAAACCCAGTTTAGAAAAAATAACTCCCATACCACAGGTTTGCCAGCTACTAAGTGCTTGGATTACTGGCATACACCACCACTGAAATTGTTTCTCAAGGAAATAATCTGCAATAGAGCAAAAGCCTTATTCATAAACACTATACCATAATATTTATAAGATACAAAAATTTAAAATATGGAAACTAAATGTCTATATAGCTGTATCTAATCCGTAACATTTAAGGTAACATTTTAAATGTTTATTATGTAACAAGTTTTTGATGTTTATGTAACAAAGCAAGAGTTACAGGTTGTTTTTGTTCCTGGTTTGAGTCAGGGTCTCTAAGTCTGGGTGACTCCTCACTGATCTTCCTGGTTTCTAAATGCTGGCATGACAGTGTGCACCATGGGAAGATTTTATAATTTTAAGTAGGGAAAAAACTGATGAAACTGATGCAGTATGGTGACAGCAATGTTTTAAAAGATTATAAAGTGTCGGAAAAAAAAACTAAATCCCCTGGTTTTCTCTGGGTAGTGTTTCTATGGGCAGTTCTCCCTTTATTTCATTATTTTTCTATCACTTTTACCGTATTAAAATTTTTGTGTAAGGTGAATTTTGCCACAACTACAAATTACTGATTACATAAAAACAGCAAAGCCACTGTTGTAATAAGAATTGTAGTGAACTTTGCTGGCAGAGGTATGGTCAGACTAAGTTTATTGTTAATTGCAAATATAATCTATGCACACAAATACAAAATTTTTATATTTTGTTTCTCATATCAAATATATGCACTTCTAAGTAAAGTATTGGAGAGTTAATTAAAGTTTGTACTTCTCATTGTTACTCTAGCACTTCAGATTTCAAAGGGGAAAAGAATCACATTTGCTAAAACTACTTTTTTTCAGAAACATTCTGATATTAACAGTTATGGTACAGGACATATTTTTATATAGGACAAGCTTTGTTTACAAAGGAAACACAAGCCCCACATGGTGGCACATGCCTGTAATCCCAGCACTCCGGGAAACTAGACAGGAGGGTGAAAAGTTGGAGCCCTTTCGGACAGTTTAGTGACTTTGGGAGAGCCTGTGTCAAAATAAAAAGTCCTGGGGATTTAGGTTAGTGTCAAGGCCCTGGATCCAATTCCTAGTACTATAAAAGTAAAATCATAAAGTAAAAACTCTCAAACCAATCTATTACTAAGACATTGTGCTAAAATCTGTAATATGTTGATTTATTCCAAATGCTAGAGTTCCACTGAGAGGTATAAAGCACTTCTATCACTAGCACACACTAAAGTACTTCTTAAAAATGAAGAAAATTCATTTTTGCAAGAATGTTTACATTTATAAATGTGGAGAGCTGTGTTTGATTTTGATATCTAGAACATTGTATCATGGGCCCCTTGCTAGTGTGAATAACACTGCGTTCCTGTCTTCTGGTTCATAACAGGAGAGACACACAGGCTGTGCAAAACAGCTATAATAAAGGTAGACAGAGAGTCCTGGGAGATGGAGAAGGGGGCAATTAGCTAACTGCCTAGAGAGGAGAATGCTGAGGAGCAGGGGGGGAGGCAGGCGAGAGAGGAGTGCGCAGAAGCTCTCTGCAGAGAGAAGCAGAAGCACCTGGCTGGGAGGCTCAGGCCATGGCAGGACTGAAGGTTACCTACAAGTTTGTTTATACCCAGATGTTTCAGAAAGGCGAATTGAGGTCTGTTTGACAGTCTAGAGTTTGTCCTTCATCCTTAAGGAAATAGGAACCCATCGGTAAGGTGTATTAAGAAGAGGAACAATGTGATTCAATTTATATTTTATTAAGGCAGCTGGTGTGGAAGGCCTGTTTCAGTGACACTGAGAGGGGACAGTGAGGTCACCCGGGACACCTTCGCTAGACTACAGCGATCGACGGGAGATAGAAAGCTGAACACAGGAGGTGGTGAGAGTAAAGAAGTGGGGAAGAAAATGTAAAAGATTCGGGGCTCCCCAGGCATGGCGATGCACCCCCGTAACTCCGGCTACTCAGAAGCAGGCAGGAAGATCACAATCATGAGCCCAACCTGGGCAATTTAATGGAATTTTGTTTCAAAAATTAAAAAAATAAAAAAAATGCCTACGGATGTAGCTGGGTGGCAGAGCCCAGCAGGCGCCAGGCCCGGATTAAACACCCAGTACTGGGGAGGAGACCAAAAACGGACTAAGGAGCAGGAGAAGAGATACACACGTGTGCGTTCAGGTTTCCAGTGAGCACCAGGAAAGGAAACGGGAGTGAAAGACAAAAGTAGAGCGAGGAAAACAACAATAATGCGGCAGGCTGAGGACAGGTCGAATGTTAAGTCACAGAAATCTAGGAACAAATGTATGCTCAGTAATTGGGGAGAGGTGAGCTGTAAGAGTCATTACGAATGAGACATTCAGTAAGTACTCATCAAAGAAAAGATCATCGATAACACGCTAAGACAAGCTGGCTTTCCCCCATTTCCTTGAAAATACACTTTTGTAAAAGCCAAGGATTTCTGCAACAGTGTTAGTATTAATCTAATGCATTGTAATATACTAAGATGTTTTTTCCATCAAAGAAAATTATTCTCATTAGGCACAGTGGTACACACCTATAATCTCAACTCTGAGCGCATGAGGCAGGAGGATCAAAAGTTTGAGTGCTGCGTGGACAACTTAGCAAAGAGCCTGTCTCAAATTTTAGAATCTTGTAAAGTGAGGAGGATGTAGCTCAGTGGTGGAGGAGCCCTGGATTCAATTGCCAGTACAGAGTACCACGAAACAAACAAAACCTCACTGCTTTTAAAAAGCTAAAAAAAACGCGAAAATTACAACTCTCTTAAAATTTTTATTGTAAGGAGGTAAAATTAAACAACAAAATAGGACATAAGAAAGCAATGTAAGAGATATAAATTTCAAAGCTAGCTGACCTGAGGTCTTCACTGTATCTATCAAGTTGTCTCTTGTTTTCTTCCAAATAGTTGTCCATGTCCTCGCACACAGAAACAACGTAGTATAGAACTGAGCTGAACAGAATGAGGAAGGCGTTTTAGGTCTTCAGAACCAGACAACAGGGAAGTCACTAATGGCTGTCATAGTCTCTCGTTCTCTCCAAAACAGCTGTCCATACTTGCATGTATATTGAAGTGAAACAAAACTGGCAGAGGAGGAGGGGACGCTTCAGACCCCAGCACAGCGCAGGCCCCAGCAAACCCTGGTGGCTCCCGTCCTGGGCCACCGGAGCCTGCGAAAATTATCTCTTTTTAAGACCTGCATTGTCAACAGTGGTGGCACATGCCTGTCAGCCCAGCACTTGGGAAGCTGAGGAAGGAGGAGTTCAAAGGGAAGCCTGGGCTACAAAGTGAGTTCAAGGCCAGCTTGGGCTACATACTAAGACCGTGTCTCAAAAAAAAATAAAAATTAAAAAAAGATTTTCTATTATAAACCACAGTGTTTCGTACTACTGCCATTATCTTGCACCTTTAAGTACACATTCACAATGTGTTTAACAATATAATAGCCTGCAGTAAAATTAGGCAAAGTAAATAAAACTATCTTATCATTTACTTTGTGTGCCTAGGAAACCATACACAGTTGCTGATATAAGCTATAAAATTTCAGTAGAGTCAATAGAGGTACGATGGCTGGCATAGCTAAACCTGGAGTCTTGAAACACCAGGCTACTACCACCTTTAGGAAATAAAGGAGAAAACCCCTCTCTGAGATCAAATTACATAAGTACATAATTCATGTGTTCACAGATAGGAGCGGATTAGCCTTCCACAAAGACAAGGTAAAAATTTTAATCCTTTCTGCTTGTGTAGAGGCAATTTCATTGTGATAAATGGCACTAAAATTTTCAAAAACAAGTAATAAAGAGCGGAAAGAGTCCAAATGAGGGCATCTACCAATTTGGCTTTATTCCCAGTTCCTACCAACAGGTTGTGAAGTGACCTTGAGAGAGTTTATGGGCTTCTGTTACCTACTTTAAGCAATATTAACAGAGCAAGGAGAATGTTAGAATGTTACACATATTGTGCCTGTGTCAGGTATTGTTCCAAAAGACAATAAATTTCAGGACTGGAAAAAGACCTCAAAGAGCATTGGCTCTCTCCTCCAACATTACATTTCCAAATGACTTTCTCAGCAGTAGACTTCTGCTGAGAACAGAGCTATGCAAGAGCTATGGAGGGAACCGTGTGTGTGCTTAATTTTCTCTTCTATAAAGTGAGGAAACTGGCCTAGCCCGTCTGTAAGCTTTCTTAAAGCTCTAAAAATTCTCAACCCTGATTCACATATATAAAATCTTTAATTTTGCTGAGTATTGTGGGCCGTGCTTGTCATCCCAGCACTCAGGCAGGAGGATTGAGGGTTGGAGTCCAGCCTGACCAACTTGGTGACTTAGTGAGAAATAGAGGGGAGCACTGGGATTGTGCAGGCTCAGAGGTCCATCCCCTGTACTTCAAAGGAAAAAAGTTGGTTCTCAGACAGACAGTTACATAATTTACAGGCATTACTGTATATTTTGTAACACACAAAAAGTATGTGTGTACAGAGAATTGTTTAATATCTAGGAAGTATAGGTCTATTTTTCTCATTTATGACTCAGTAAGCTTGGTGCATTTTTGGACTTCTCTTGCCTTATGGGGGTATATTAAAGTAAATGAAATTAAGAAATATTCACTCTAAATACTGACACTGACTATTCTAGACAGTTTTTCTCTAGAAGTTTGTGACATTTTAGTGTTACATTAATTTAGCTGAATCTATATGACAATGTTGATTACTGTGGAAGAAAGTAACCCAGTAGTTTTGGAGTGTCGAGTGTGCAAAATTGAAACCTTATTGTGGTTTGAACATATTACCCACAGATAACTTGATGTTTCTTTAAGAGATGGAGCTGACCGTCCCTCTTCCTGAGTGGGCGGGACTTGACACCTTACTGTTAACAAATAGCTCACAGGAGAATTGACAGCAGCACTGTGGTCCGAATGTGTCCTCCCAAAATTCCGTATTTGAAATTTAGTTGCTAGGGAGACAGAGAGGTGAAGGAGAAGTAAAAAGAATTCAGATGTGTTATGTGCACCTACCAACTCCCCACAGTGAACGCACTCACTAGGTATCACAAACACACACTAATGAAAAGAAGCAGTTCACAGAAGAGACTTCACCCAGGCTTTGCCCCTTTCCCTCCCACCCTTGCCCAATGAGGACAAATAGCAAAAAGGCTCCCTCCGAGGCACAGATAGCCAGCCAGTTCTCACCAGACAGCAAATCTGCTGGTCCTTGATCTGGGGAATTCCCAGCCTCCAGAATTGTGAGAAATGAATTAGTTATAAACTGCCCTGCCCGTTAGCCTTCCATCACTGTAATGAAGTATGTAAGGTAATCAACATAAAAGCAAAAGCTCCTTTTGGCTCCCGCTTCTGCAAATTCCAAGCCAGGATCAAGTGGCCCAGTTGCTTTGGGTCTCTGCTGAGAATGCCACATCACACCAGTGTGTCTGAAGGGGCTCACTGCTCACCTCCAGGACGGAAAGCAGAGAGCTCAAGAGCCTGAGAGGCAGGAATCCCACAGTGCCTTTTAAGTCATTGGGCCGAAGACCAGAGGACCCCCCATAAGGCCGCACCTATTGAAGTCTTAAGGTACCTATCAATACCTCTGGGACCTGCGCCTTTTAACAGATGTTTGAGGGACGCTCATCTGAGCCATAGTGACAGGACCAGACTAAGAGAGTACACAGTTTCTGAGACCAGATCACGAGAGGTAGGCTACTGCAGTTTCCTCCTTTTTGGCTTTGGGATCACTTACTTTGGGGTAGTTCAGAAGCCACATACTGATGAAGCAGCTCTGGAGAAGTCCACATGGTGGCCAAGGGAGGCTCCTGCCATCAGTAAAGGACCTTCTGCAAACAACCACATAAAGAAACACCATGGATGCCAACGGCTCTTCCAGCCCCAGTCAGCCTCTGGATGATGGCTGCTCCTGCCAACACCCTAAATGCCACCCCCTAAGGCAGAACCATTCAGCAGTGCTGCTCCAGACTCCTGACTCACAGAAACTAAAACATTAATGTCATTAAACTTTAGGATCATTTTGGATATTGCAATATATAAACGCATTTACCTATAAAGGGTTCCCACTCGAGTTAGATGACTCTGTAGTTTTTAAAGTGATTGAATTATTTAATAAGATCTGGGACTGGACAAGACTTCAAAGAAGAACTGAATTATTTTGCAGAAACCACTAATATCTCTCGAGTTTGTCTTGGTCAAATGTGGGCTTCTACTGTTTCCTATCTCAGTGAAGGTGTGAACTCATCTTTCACCTTCCTTTCTGCTTGATACCCTCATGCCTAACCTAATTATTTTACCGCCTCTTGCCTCTACTTTTTTATTTTATTTTATGGTACCACGGATCACACTCATGTTTGTGAGGCAGACACTTATGCCACTGAGCTAAATGCCTGGCCCTCTACTTTTAAACCTGTATGACCCCTCCATACTCCAAGCCACACAATGGTTATGCCCCCCACTTCTTTGAGATAGTGTCTCATTCCATAGTTTAGCCTGGCCTTGAACTCACTGTGTAGTCCACACTGGCCTCAAACCTGCAGCAATCCTCCTGCCTCAGCCTCTTGAGTGCTGGGATTACAGGTGCATGCCACCTCCCACTTGCTATCCCTTTTGAGTCTCAGTAATAAGATAGCCTCTTCTCATGTTAACTTATGCCCATAAAATTAATTCTCAATACTAAATTAACTAATATTAATTATGGTTATCTCCCATTTCCATTCCATCACTGTCCCTCTAAACTTGTCTGTTGATTTCCCATTTCTGGTCATCCAGTTGCACTTGTTTTCCAAGCTCAAGTCACTCTGACCTGTTGTTACTCCTAGAATACAACTGCTACCGCATCCAGGCTGCAAGGATCCTGCATGTACACTTCCCTCAACATCATTTGCCTCCTGATGCCTGCTCATCCTTCAGATCTGAGTCATAACTCAAATCTGAACTGATGTCCCTATACAACTTCCCTGTACCTTTTCCTTGTAGTACTAAATAGCAGTTATATGGGTGATTTGTTTTGTTTGGGATACTAAGGATTGAACCCAAGGCCTCACACATCCTAGGCAAGTACTCTATCACTGAATTATACTGCCTGCTCAGCATTTATATTGTTACTGCTTGGATTTTTAAAATTTCGTGTCTCGCTGGGTGTGGTAGTGCATGCCTCCAGTCCCAGAACTCGGGAAGCTGAGGCAGCAGGATCACTGTGGGCTCAAGGGGAATCTGGTCTACAAAGTGAGTTTAAGTCCAGCCTGAACTATGCAGTCAGATCCTGTGTCAAAAAGCCACACACAAAAAAATTCGTGTCTGTTCTCCTCACCATGCTACAAGTGTAAATGTAAGAACAGTGTATGTGTCCTTTCATCCTCTTTCTGTGAACATAGCACTGTGACTGGGGCATTCTAAAGTGTTCAGTAAACATTTTGTAATGGAACAATGAATCAAATCACCCAAGAAGTTAATGTGAAACTAAGATTTAGGTTTTCTATCTTTAATTTTAATGTTAATTACAACCCACCTGCAGCTTTCAGTTTGATGCACTCAACTACAGATATCAATATAATGAATATATAAAATGCAAACAAATCATTGATATTCCTCAAATATATTTAGCAACCAGTGGGACACAACATCTGGTTATAGTTACTGTATAGATCACTTTGTATATTTTGAGTCTAAGTAAAAGAATGTACAATTGGCTTTTTACAAAAGAAATCAGTGTATATAAATGTAACAATCACAGGTAAATTTGGAGAGACTATCTGACTCAGAGTTGGCTGTTGCTGATAAGTATTAGGAATGAATGTGTGAAGTAAGTGGCAAATTCTAGGTCCTTGATCTAGTCCAACTGTCAGCCTCTGGAGTTTTTTCCATGCCACTGGCCCGTGTCCCTGTTCTGCTCCTTCTGAATCCTTTTCTGGTGAACTGATTGCAAAAGCAGTTGACCCAGCAGACCTGAAGCACTGAGGCGGCAGCCATCAGTGCTGTGTCCCTTGTCGGTGGCTGGCTCTCAGCTCTACTGTAGTCAGCGTGGCTTCCAGGACGGTGTGCGGGGCATCGTAGTAAATTCTTCAGGGGAAACCTGTAAGAATGCAGGAAAAGGCTTTTGGTCAATGATACAAACTATATTACTTATCACTGTCATACAGTAATACACAGTACATTACAATGATATAAACTATATGGGAACTGTTTGGCTTTTTCCCTATGAAAATGATTTTGAAGAGCGATTCAGTTCTGAGGATGACCAGAAGAAGCTTAATAAAATATGATACAGCTGGACCAATAGTCTGGTGGTGTCTGAAATCAACTGAGGTAATCAAGTTTTGATCAGAGCACAAATTGGAGTTTGATGTTGAGATGATAAAAGTGTGTTTCTGTTTTCAGCTAATTAAACTCTGTCCATTTACTTAGTCTGTTAGCCAATTACAGATTCTACAGGAAGTGCTGGGACTATCAGGTGGCAGGCCTGCTCCTCCCTCCGCAGACTCAGTCCAGCTGGGAATGGGGGTGCACGCCTGTGATCTCAGCACTCAGGGAACTCAGGCAGGAGGACCGGCCACTGTGAGTTTGAGGGCAGCAAGGAGTACACAGTAGTTCAAGACCAGCCTGAACTACAGAGAGAGACCCCGTCTCAAAACAAACAAACAAAACAAACTCAGTCCACTGGGAGGAACAATGTCCTCAGCATAAAACTACAGCATCCTGCAGGACACACGCCAGTTGATCCCTCTCCTTTTCTAGGTCCATCTACTTACTCATAACTGTCATAGCATCTTGACTTCGGGCCCAGGAATAGCTCAAACTCAGCCTTCCCAGGGTGAACCCATCATCTTTTCTGCCCCAAACTCTCTTTCTCTTCTTCCTCTTTCTCCTCCTGATTATATTTCATCCTCATTTGTGAAATTATTTGTTCACGGTCATCCTTCCCTGAAACCTGAAAGTAATCCTGAACTTGTTCAAGTTCCACTTTCCATCAGCAGCCAAATCCTACTCATCCATCGAAGCGTCTTCCGAGTCACTGTCTTCTCTAATTCACCTAATTACCGTGGACTTGATCCTGGATGCTATTGAGCCTCCCACCAGAATGTAACACCAGCGTTCAGCCCCTCTCTCACACAGCTTCTACCAGATGTATTTTCTTTGTGTTTTGAGATATCTAGAAATCGTAGCTGCAGGGCCAGCCCGCAGTAGATTATACTGCAATTAGCAGCTCTTATTAATGTGGCCAACCTGGTGACCAGAGTTTATGTTTGCTTTTGCTACATCACTCTGGAATGTGAATATTCTATTAATTCAAGGACAATCAGGTCACAGACTATCTGGCTCACATAAATTTATAAGAGAAAGTAAAAATATTGGCTGTTAAGTTCAGACAGTCCTATGTTCTAAATCTAGCACTGCTATATAACATGGCATATAAAATGTTTCTTGATATTTTTCTTCTGTTGCCCTCATTTTATTTATAGAAAAAGGGAGTTTTCTATTTAAACAATTAGGATTAAGCTCAGCAGGAAGTGACAGTAAGCCCAAAATAATAGTAGCTTTAAAAAGATACCCAGCCAGGCGGGTGGTCTAGAACTGGTTCAGTATCTGCTCAATTATCAGCCTCACCATTTGCAACAGGTGGCTTCCGCCACATGGCATGACATAACTGCCCCAGTTCCCGCACCATGTTCACATTAAAGGCAGAAGAAACAAGTTTAAACAGAGAAGAGAGAGAGAGAGAGAGAGAGAGAGAGAGAGAGAGAGAGAGAAGGGCGTTCTCATTCCTTTAAGGGCACTTCTCAGACTTGTCTCTCTGCACATCATTATACATCATATGTGTACTATTGGTTATCTAACCCTAATTATAACACATACGTGTTATATATAGAATGTTCATTGGACAGAACTTCACCATAATTTAGCCATATGACTAAATCTGATGACAAAGGAGATTAAAATTATATAGTTTTTACTCTGGGTAACTGTTGGGAGCCGCGTCTGTGATAGCTCGCCTTGCGCGGCGGACGTGCGGCCTGTGGTAAAGAGCAAAGCCTGAGGTAGATTACCCCTCCCATCGAATATGTTAGTTTCCTGCTTACCGCGTAAACAACCCGCTCAACAATATAGTCTGCCTGGCAACTGATGATGTTAGCCAATCAGCTTGCCTTGCTTACTTTAACATGATTGGACACTGTACCCGTATATATACCGGTGCCACCCCTGGGCGGAAGAAGAAGCCAGGTAGAAGCCCGGAAGTAGAAGCACAAAAGGAGCCGCGGGGAGCGGACCAGAGGAGGCTTCAGCTGGGAGAACCCAGGGCAGGCTGTACGGAGAAGAAAAATAAAAGAAAAGGTTGTCCACTGCCAGACTTTGTCGTGTGTCCTTCCTGCCGGCCGGGAGCGGACATCGACATTTGGAGGCCCGCCCGGGGACTGATCACCCCCGAGACGTGGAAGTGGACAACGCTCCAGTACAGAGCTGCGAGACAGGTGAGTTGGGGATAAGCCTGGGCTCTGGGTGGCGCGCACCTACAGGACTTTTAGACTCCCCTCAGGCTCACGCGTAAGTGGCGGATTCCTTGGGCCTCACGCGGTGAGTAACATATTAAAAGATGGGAAACATGTTAGGTAGCAACACTAAGAGCGAGGGTGGTTGTGGAGAAAGCTCTCAAGAGCTTACAAAAGTACGCAGGGTATCTGAGCAGGCCCAGTCAGGGAGCTCCCGAGAGGGGTCCGTCAAGGGGAACAAGGATGCTAAGGAGGAGGACGGGGCTCTAGCCTCGGAGTCGTCTGACTCCGAGAACGAGGGAAAGTTGAATGGCAAGGAGGCCAAAGAGACCAGCTGTCAGGAGCCTAAATCGCTCAATAAGGAGTCGCAGGGTTCTTTTCCAGCGTTGCCCCGCGAATTGCGCTCTGCTCAACCTGGTCTGCGGAGGAGTAGAGAGCTCCTGAGCGCTCCCCGGCGCGAGAGGGAGGCGAAGCCTTCCGCCCCATCTTGGGGGCCGTTTCCGGAGGCGATTCCTCGCCACGAGGCGGCCGCCTGGGAGCTCTCTCCCCTTTCGCCAGAACAGGAAGTGATGCACGGGCCCCCATTTTCCGCCCAATCACGGCCGCTGTCTTATGCTCCGCCGCCGGCGGGTCGGTATTTTTACAGGCGGCTTTGGCAGGGGGGACGCTTGTCTCATGAGGTACATCCACCTGGGATAGATTCCCAGGGATCTATCCTGTACAAGTAGCTATGGGCCAGGGACGCAATGTATGGGAGCCTTTTGAGATAAAGCAGATTAGAGAACTTAAAAATGCAGTTACAACCTTTGGGCCGACTGCGCCTTACACCATTGCCATGCTGGAGAATCTGTCTTCTGGGCCCCTCACCCCCGCGGACTGGATTCAGCTGGCAAAGGCGTGTCTGCCCTCGGGCAGTTACCTGGATTGGCGAGCCTGGTACGCAGAGTTCTCTGCAGAGCAGGCTGAGAGAAACGCCAATCGGGGAAACCGGGGGTGGAACAAGGAAATGCTTATGGGAGAAGGTCGGCACGCTGATGACCAGACCCAGTTCCCCGGCGCTGTCTATGAACAAATCAATGCCATAGGGCTCCGCGCCTGGAAACAGGTAAGTGGTGCCGGAACAGCCTCCTTGAGTCTTTCAAAGATAATTCAGGGTACCACAGAGCCATTTGTTGACTTTGTGGCCCGAATGCAAGATGCTGCCGATAAGATATTTCCTGATCCGGGAGTGGCTCAACCGCTGGTAAGACAGCTGATTTTTGAGCAATGTACAAAGGAGTGCAAGGCAGCGATAGCTCCTCATAAGAACAAGGACCTCAACGCCTGGATTAGGATATACAGAGAGATAGGGGGGCCGCTCTCCAACTCGGGAGTGGCTGCTCTCCTGGCCGCGGCTGTACAGCAGAGGGGACCTCGCGGGTTAGAAGGGGAATGTAAGGCTAAAGGGTGTTTTGCCTGCGGGGAGCCAGGACACATTAAACGTCATTGCCCAAACAATGCAGATGCTAGGCCTCACCCTAGGAATGAAAAACCATATGTTTGTGGGTGATGCAAAAAGGGATCACACAAAGCTGAGGAGTGTAGGTCGGTCTTTGATGCTCAGGGCAACCGTATTTGTGGACAAGATGCTAGAGAGCCAAAAAACGGCCAGAGGGGGCCCCCTTCACAGGCGGGCCCCCGCCCCAGAGACAGGACAGCTCAGGGTGGCAGCCTTCAACAAGGGCCACCCCTGGGTCAGCAGGTGTGGACCTCAGTGTCGCCTCAGGACTTATATTAGTGCCTGATATGGGTGTTCAAGTGGTTGAAACCACCTTTAAGGGACCGTTACCCGAAAATTCCGTGGGTCTGGTGATCGGGAGATCCTCCACGGCCCTTCGGGGTCTCACAGTAGTCCCAGGGGTCATAGACTCAGACTACACAGGATATATTAAAATTATGGTTCAATCTCTTGTGGGTACTATGGTAATCAATAAAGGAGACAAGATAGCACAGCTCTTGCTGCTCCCCAGTCTCCACAAGAGATTTCCCTCAAAGCAGAAAATTAGAGAAAGTCAAGGTTTCGGTTCCTCAGGGGAAGTCTTTGAGGGACTCCATATAACACTTGGTAAAAGGCCCATGCTCTCACTTAAGGTCAATGGCAAGAATATAACAGGGCTCCTAGACACAGGAGCTGACCGTTCCATTATCTCCAGAAAGGATTGGCCTTCCAACTGGCCCACCAACACTGCAGATAACACGCTGCAGGGCCTGGGGATGGTGTCAGCTCCTCAGGTTAGTGCTTCAACCCTGCTCTGGTGCGATGAGGAGGGTCATCAGGGCCATTTCCAACCGTTTGTGTTGCAGTTGCCAGTGTCTCTATGGGGAAGGGACATCCTCACTCAGATGGATGTCACGCTTACGTCAAACTGCTCCCCCCAGGCTAAGGATATACTCAGAAACCAGGGATATACCCCCGGCAAAGGCTTGGGCAATGCCCTGCAGGGTCGGACATCCCCAATACCAGTAAAAAACAAAAAAGGTAGGCAAGGATTGGGTTTTTCTTAGGGGCCGCTAAAGAAGCTCTCCTACCCACTTCAATCAAAATCACCTGGAAATCAAATGATCCGGTTTGGGTACCTCAGTGGCCCCTGCCTAAGGAGAAGCTATTAGCCTTGTCAGAAATAGTCAGTACACAACTTAGATTAGGACATATTAAGCCGTCAACCTCCCCATGGAACACCCCCATTTTTATAATTAAGAAAAAGTCTGGCAAGTGGAGGCTGCTCCATGATCTAAGGGCGGTCAACGCGCAGATGCAGTCCCTGGGGGCGGTCCAGAGGGGGCTGCCAGCTCTCTCAGCCATCCCTCAGTCCTGGCCAGTTTATGTTATAGACCTTAGAAACTGTTTCTTCTCAATTCCCCTGCACCCAGAGGACACTCATAGGTTCGCCTTTACTTTGCCCACCATTAACCAAGAAAGCCCTGATCTCAGATACGAGTGGGTAACGTTGCCCCAAGGTATGGCCAACAGTCCCACTATGTGTCAGATTTACCTTGATTCCCTACTGGCCCCCCTACGAAAATCCTTTCCCAAGATAAGATGTATACATTACATGGACGACCTTTTGCTCAGCGGCAGGGACCCAGACATGCTAAATAATATGCTCAGCCAGTTGGTCGAGGCCCTGAGACAAGCCAATCTGCATGTTGCCCCCGACAAGATTCAGGGAGGAAAAATGGTGACCTACTTAGGCGCGAAAATCTCCCCTATGCTAGTCTCTCCACAGAAGGTCACCATTAGGACGGATGGCGTTAGGACCCTAAATGACATGCAAAAACTATTGGGAGACATTAATTGGATTAGGCCATATTTACATATACCAAATTCAGATCTCAAACCCCTGTTCGACCTTCTGAAGAGAGACCCAGATATAGCCTCCCACAGGAGGCTCACTCCTGAGGCAAGAGCTGCCTTACAGAGAGTGAAAAAAGCCTTAGGTGGGGCTACCTTACACAGAATTAAACCAGGGCGACCCTTTGATGTCTGTTTGCTAAAGACTAGTCTACAGCCTACAGCGGTGATTTGGCAGAAAGGACCACTACTGTGGATACACCATAAGGTCTTCACCACCCACATAAAAACACATACATCCCTGCCGGGGCCCATGGCACAGGGGAATGTGGCTGCTGACACTGCCACTCGCCCGTTATGGATTTTTACCTTACTAACACCAATCGAGCGAGCCCGTGCCTTCCATGATAAATTTCATGTTAATGCCAGGACACTAGCAAACCATTTCCATGTTTCTAGAGCAGATGCACAAGATATCGTGCGACTATGTGACTCCTGTGCCACATACAAACCTGCCATACCGATGGGAGTAAACCCTTGAGGTTTGATCCCTGGTGATGTTTGGCAGATGGACATCACACATATACAGGAGTTTGGGACTCTTAAATATGTTCATGTTTCCACAGACACCTGTTCTCACGTCATATTCGCAACAGCAGAAACAGATAAAAAAGTGTCTAATGTGATCAATCATTGCCTGGCAGCTTGGGCCACATGGGACAAACCAAAAATATTAAAAACTGATAATAGACCAGCCTATATAGACAAAGCCTTCAATGAGTTCTGCAAAATGATGGAGGTTCAATTAAAACATGGTATCCCATACAATCCCCAAGGTCAAAAAATCATTAAGAGGGCTCATAAAAGCCTCAAAAAATTTTACAAAAACAAAAAGGGGGAGTAGGCCAAGGCCTGGCCCCAAAGGCACGATTATCCATGGCACTATTCACACACAATTTTTTAAATTTAAATAATGATAATCGCTCCCCAGCTGTGGAGCACTGCAACCCTTCCCCCAACCATAAAGGGTGGGTGAAGTGGAAAGATGTCCTGACAGGACAATGGATGGGCCCGGATCCAGTGGTCAGCTGGAACCGAGGCGCGGTTTGTGTTTTCCCACAGGAACCGGGACGAGAACCACTGTGGATACCGGAGAGACTGACACGGGCGACAAAGCCCTCGACTAAAGATCAGACCTGCCCTACCGGAGATCCATCACAGACCAACCAACAAGATAAATAAAAATAGCGGTAGCCCGAAATAGACAAGAAGATCCTCAGGCATATGCATGGCTCGCTCGCCTAGCCTACGACCGAGTCTAGGGACGGTGAGCTTCCCACACTCCTCCTCTAAAAAATTATGACATAGCTGGGTAGGAGAGTCAATGACGGGTAAGAGCGTACTCCCCCGGTGCGACTCAACCTAAGCCAGGCCCTACCCCATTCTGCACGTAAGCCGCTGGACTGTTAGATGCTGCCCAGGTCTAAATTTCTCTCCGAGGGGATTTCTTTACGGAGAGGAAATGAGTGCAAGCTTGTGTGCATCCAGGTTCCGTCCAGTTTGTGCCTGGCCCTAGAAAAAGGACGAGGGCCTCAGGGCCTTGACAGACCATGGCATGGCCGACCAGGGTCTAAGCCAAGGACCTACGGTGGGCCTACACATAGGGCATAAGCCTCTACACCCAGTCCAGGAAGGGCTACGATGCGCACATTCATAAAAAATAAAATAGGGGGAGATGTTGGGAGCCGCGTCTGTGATAGCTCGCCTTGCGCGGCGGACGTGCGGCCTGTGGTAAAGAGCAAAGCCTGAGGTAGATTACCCCTCCCATCGAATATGTTAGTTTCCTGCTTACCGCGTAAACAACCCGCTCAACAATATAGTCTGCCTGGCAACTGATGATGTTAGCCAATCAGCTTGCCTTGCTTACTTTAACATGATTGGACACTGTACCCGTATATATACCGGTGCCACCCCTGGGCGGAAGAAGAAGCCAGGTAGAAGCCCGGAAGTAGAAGCACAAAAGGAGCCGCGGGGAGCGGACCAGAGGAGGCTTCAGCTGGGAGAACCCAGGGCAGGCTGTACGGAGAAGAAAAATAAAAGAAAAGGTTGTCCACTGCCAGACTTTGTCGTGTGTCCTTCCTGCCGGCCGGGAGCGGACATCGACAGGTAACCATCCATCTAGCAAAAACTTGCAAGTGCTGTCTTACATAGAAGTCGGTAATGGACATGACCAATGCCACAACCTGGACTCCCCAGGTAGCAGAGCCAGAGGCAAAGGTTTACCTGCTGGTATTTATCAGGAAGTAAAAACCAGGGAAACCGGCAGTGGGGGTGAGGCAGGGAAGGCAAGAGAGCGGTGCTAGGGTCTTTACTCAGCTGGTGTCACTTGGGTCAAGCCCAGCTTCTGTTTGGTCTTACAGCCGGGTGCTCAGACAGGAGTGTGGAGCTGTACCTCAGAACAGTCTGTCTCCGTGAGGTAAGGAAAGAGACCACCACTTATTCTTGTGTCCTGTAGGATGAGGCTCACCCTCCCAAACATCACGTCTTTGCAATTCCAGGAATGCCTGTGCCGGCCTGGTGGTATCTCCTGCGTCAGCCTCAGCAGGGGCGATTCAGAGTGAGTCAGTAGGTTTACGACCTGGACACGAGCTGCCATCACCTGTTACCTGAAATCTGAGCACAGGCAGGGCTGATCAGCTGAGCAACTGGGCCAAAACACAGACTGATGCCCAGAAATGATGAGGCTGAAGGACCCAAGGTGACACCTGCAGACGCCAGGTGCGGTGGGCCTTCCGCTGTCTCTGCCATACCCTCCAAACCGAGGCTGACCTCTCACTGACAAAGACAGGGAGCACCTCATACACATGCCCTCACCCCAGAGACTTGTACAGAGAAATGGTGAGACCAACAGCATTCGCAACTGCCTGCCCTTGGCCAGGTAGTCAGCTTTATTGGTACTGGTCCAGTACCCTGTAATCCTAACAACAAAACCAGGTGGAAACACAGTTTAGTTTTTCCCTTCTGTCTTCTCCCCTTCTCCCTTTTTTTTCTTTTCTTTTTCCTTTCCTCTTTCTTTCTTTTTTTATTTCTCGCAATGGCAGGGAGAAGTGAGATTTACATTCAGCAATCACCCGAAGTGCTTTGCTGCTGTAAGAAATTAAAAATGAGAAAGATGCAAAATTAGTGTGAGGTTAAAAGAGCATTTTTTGGGGAAAAGGAAACATTATGATCTTAAAGAAAGTATCAGTATTTAATGGAAAAAACTATCTCTCCATAACCTGTACTCATCTGTTTCTACCCAGAAACCAGTAATGCCTTGGCAGGAAGGTTTCTCTGCTAATGCCGACTCCTGAGGAGGACATGGCTCCTCTCCAGACTGCTCCCTGAATGCATCCAAATCTTCCAAAGGATACAAGTCTGGCCTTGGCTTTGTTCTCCCACCACCTGTAGTATCCCTCTTTGATTATGAAAATAATGTCATCCTTTTCTTCCTCCCGTCCTTGTCTCTGTGCAGAGAAAGATCCTTTTTGGGTGTTGCTCAGGTATTTTACAGCTCACGAGACAAGAGATGCATATAGGAAATTCAGGTAGCATCAGACAAAAGCTTCAAGCTTATAAGTAGCCTTAAAAGCTAGACAGTAATACTACTCATTTTGTTTTTCTTGGCATGTGTGTGTAACTAGGTCAGCCTTTCTGAGGCTTCTTCTTTTCTCTGGTCCATCATCTTCAAGAAATAAGACCCAGGCAGTCCAGTTCCTGGGTCTTGCACGTAGCGTGCAGCCTGGAGCCCAGGCCGGTCCTCTCCGGAGGCGGCTCTGTCCCAGCACACTGCGGGTCTGGCTCCCAGGCCTGGGTGGGAAAGAAGAGGAACCTGAAGGAGGGAAAACGGACGGCAAAGGCTGCGTCGTGACTTACACATTTCAAGTGGAGCAGGCTGCCTGTCTTCTCAGTTATGTTTTCATTTTTCACACGGAAACCTCACCTACAGTTATTCTCAGAATAACATTCAAATCCGAGGTCTCCCAGCTTTGTTAAAAACTTCTTTCTTATTTTAGAGTAATCATTGGCTCACACAACAAACTGTTACTAAGCACCTGACAAGCACCAAAAAGGCATCAGGGATAACTCAGGTATTTTCATCATTCATCATTTCAACGTGTTTGTAATATACTGTGATACTGAGTGAGTGTGTGCATCGTTTCCTTCTCAGTCACCATTTAAATCATTTCTTCCTGGCAGCTTCCTATAGCCTGCACCCGTGGCATGTGCACCCATTTTTTATTCTCAAATGGTGTAACTTTTTATCTCCTGCTTTACCATTTTTTAAATCCCTCACTGAAAGCCGACTTAACATTGGGTCTATGGACCCTGCTCCTGCCTGAATTCTCTAGAAGGCCAAGCATCCTCCAGTATTACGCACTGTTTGAGCCTCTTTCCTTGGTATTAAAGCAGCATCACACAAACCACATGGCAGGAGGCGAAAATCACCAAAAAAGACACAGAAGTCTCAGTGTTTTGAAGATTGCACAAAAATGAAGATACCCTTGATCTATGTCTCACATCTAACCCTGATGTGACAAAATTAAAAACAAGAAATATATCTCAGTTTTAACTATACATAGTATATTGGATCATACTTCATATTTTTAGTTAAATAATTGTCACCTCTTACAACAATTTCTACTAGAAATCTGTAATAAAGCATTAAGCTACAAAGAAAAGTGAGTCATCATTTCACAAGCTATGCCTTAAAAAGCTTACAAAATTTTTACTTGTTTTTTTAATCAGAATCAAAGGTTATTTATAGTGGAGAATTTGTATATCAGTAAGCAAAAAATAATTAACACACTTATGAGAGTAACGCGTATATGACAGTTTAATGCAACATTAGTGAATATGACACTACTTGTCTCATAAATGATTCTTTGGTTTTTACTTTTCTTTTAAATAAGATGTCATATCAATATCAAAAGAATAATTTCTTTCATGGAATGTCTTTGATCCCCTAAACAGAGAGGAAACATGCTGATAGAATTGAAAAGGTCCAATATGTTTTTTTTTTTTTTTTTTAACAGCACTAGGGATTAATCCCGAGGTGTTCTACCATGGAGTACATCTCCAGTTTTATTTATTTATTCTTTGTTTTCAGACACTTTCTGGCTAATGACCCAGGCTGGTTTTCAATTTGTGATCTTCCTGCCTCAAACTTTCCAGTAGCTAGGATTATGTGCATATGTCACCACACCTGGGATCAGCCAGTACTTTACAGTATAAAGTCAGGTAAGCCCTCCTGTGCAGGTTTATCTACTTTAGACAAAAGCATAAATTAGCACAGCATGCTGAAGAAAACAGTTTACACTATTTGTAGGGAGTTTTAAATATATTCATGCTCTTTGATCATTCATTTATAATGCTATACGCCAAAAAATAAGGATAGGATTTCACACATATGTACAAAGATGTTCAACACAGCATGTTTTATAATAGTGCAAATTTGAGAAACAGTCTGCATATTCCCCAAACAAGAAATGTTAAATAAATTATGATAAAGAGCACATAGTTATCCCTTTCTGTCTGTGGACTCCACATCCAAGAAGTCAACCAGCTGCAGATAAAAAATATTTGGAAAACAATATATACCTGCACCAAAGAAGTGCAGGTTCTTTTTCTTGTTATTATTCCCTAAACAATATAGTACCATAACAACTGCTTACATTATATTGGGTATTACAGGTAATCTAAAAATGATTTCTAAACACAGGAGGATTTACGTAAATTATATGCAAATATGCCATTCTACATACATTCTCATACGTGAGGGAGTTGAACATTAGTGAACTTTTGACTACAGGGGAGATCTTGTAGTCAAGTCCCTGCAGATACTGCAGTACTATTATCTGTAATCATAATATAATAATGTACATAATAAACATGTTTATGCAAAAGAAAAATCACATTTTTGAAAATGATGCAGTTATACATTAGAAGTACCCTTTATGTAAAATCATTGTACAAAACAGTACATGCAATATAACCCTATTTGAAAAATTAGTATGTTTATGTATACCTGAGAAAGCTAGCCTGAGAAGCTGTGTGAGACTCTGTCTTCAACTCGTGATCCTCCTGCCTCAGCCTCCTATGTAGCTGGGATTACATTTGTGTAACATCACTGTACAATGTTAATATTCATAGTAATTTTGAAATCAGGCAGTGTGTATCCACTAATTTTATTCTTTATTTTCAAAATCATTTTGAATATTCCAGATACTTGGCATTTTCATGTGAATTTTAGAATAAACTTATGCATTACTTCAGAAAAAAAGAATGCTAATAATTTGACTAGGACTTTATTGAATATGTATATTAATATGTATATTAATTTGTACTGTGACTGTCTTCTAATTCACAAACACGTGAATTTAAGCTTTTACTAATTTTTTCCAGCAATGTTTTGTAGTTATTAACATACCCATCTTAACACATTTGGTTAAATTTATTCCTCTCTGGTTTTTGGTGCTGGGGTTTAAACCCAGGGCCTTCACACTGAATTACATCCCCAGGACTTCTTTTGCTTTTTACTTTGAGACAGGACTCATTAGGTCACAAAGTTGCTCAGGCTGGGCTGGAAAGTTCAGTGCTCCTGCCTCAGCCTCCTAGAGGCCTGGGATTACAGATGTGTAGCACCATGGCTGGCTTATATATTTCATTATCAACAATGAATAAAATTAATTAAAAATTAAGTGTCTCTCAACACTAAAAATAAAAGTTTTGACTTCTTTTTTTTTGGTACTGGTAATCAAACTCACGACTGCACGCTTGCAAGGCAAGTGCTTCTGCCACCTAGCTAAACCCCAGCCCAGTTTTGACTTCTTATGGATTCAATAATATAGTAAATAGAAAGTCAAATAATGTGAGTCTAAGGACTAATTTCTTCTCACAATCAAAAATTTTAATTCTTAGTTGTGATACATTGTGGCAATTAGGACAGCTAAAATTTGAAATAATGTCAATTAAGCAGTAGTTTCAGCATCGTGCTAATAAACACAGATATTCGTTTACTAGGACAGGTGCGTGCAGCCCTCGAGCTGAGCTGCGTGTTGTAGGTGCGCATCGGCTGTCAGCTGTTCCCCTTTGAAGGGGGGCGGCCAGGCTCCCCTCTGAACAACGTGGGTCTCATGTATTATAACCGTACATCACAAGCACGTATTTAAGGGATTTGAACCAAGATAAAGTCAGCCTTGACATAAACTAACAAAGCCAAAAGAAAACCATTAAAAATAAAATTCCCCGAACAACTCCAAATCAAAAAGCTAATCCTAAAGGCCCATTTTTTAACTATAGGTGCCTAATGTACCATTTAATGAAAATACACAAAGATATCATAAGTTCTAGACAGACTGTGAGGAAATCCTAAGTAAAAAGAAAAGAGACACATCTAATTTACTAGTATTTGGGACAATCCATTTGTCTGTGTGATAAAGACTAAAATAGACTGATTATACCGCTGGCCAGGAGCCACGCCATTCTTCTGTGGATTCTTAAGATACGGGCCTGCATTGTTCTGTGTGTCATCCTTGCCAGTTCCTGTCAGACTGGTCCTTAGTTATGCAGGTTTCTGCTATTTATCAAACTCGTGAGGCTTGAAAATCTCCTCCTACTTGCCTGAAACAAATTTATTTCTTTATTAAGCATGTCCATTTGATGAAATTTCCAAGGTTCACTTCTGAGTGGTAAGCATCTGATATAAACAAAGGAAACATGCAAAACAGCCTTAGGAAAGTTACACAAACGGTTAAGACGATCTTTGGGGTGGTCATTCCCGTAGGCTTTAACAATGAATCATTTCACTGAAATAAGAACTTGCTATAATTTAGAGAGAGTCATTCTGCCCTACTGGTAAGTGAAAGAAATCGGACACACGTGTATAAATATCACGTTACTTCTCTGGTGCGAGGAACCAAAAGTGTAGATGAGGACCAAAATGCTTATTAGGTATCGTGAAATAGGAAGAAAATATTCCAATGAGAGGGCAACAAAGAAGGGGGGGGGAAAGAAAGAGGGGGAAAGTTAAAAGAAAGTGGGGAAAGAAGGGGAAAGGGAGCCATTTCCAGTTTTAAAGTGTTAAAGAAAGAGGATTTCAATTGTGTTTGAGACCAGTTTGGGTGACTTACGTAGACCCCATCTCAGAGTAAAAACAGAGGACAAGGAAGGCGATGCAGTTCAGGTGCTGAGTGCTCAGCTACCGAGCACAGGCCCTGCGTTCGAGTCTCAGTGCGGTAGGTCCCAACTTAAAACAAAGGGTTAGTTTTAACAGGTGTCAGTGGGCCTCGCATTGCTGACCCTGGTAAATGGGAACAAACGTGGAAAGAGCTCATGTATCCCCTGGAGGTTGCCACAGTCGTGCTGCTTGTGCTTACTGAACAGCGCGACAGTGTTCAGTGGTACAGTGCTCGGTCAGAGCCCAGGATGTCTGGAAGCAGGAGGAAAAGCAGTGGTGATGTGGTTTGGTTTTTTTATGCTTCACATTGTATGTTTGTGTCAAAGGTGTATGAGACTTGCTTTGTCAAATTTACAAGCAAACTCGACTTTTGAACATCCTCCCAGAATGGAAATTGTTTGTAAATCAAGAACTTACTACAAAAGATAAAAAATAAAATGACAAAACATAAGCTAATGATCTCTAGCGTACAGAGTCAGTGCCAGTGTTATGAGATTAGATAAACCTAAAGCCAAAAATGACCTGGTACAGTTGAAGAACAAGTTCTTCTTCTTCTTTTTTTTTTTTTTTTTTTTTTTTTTTGTCTTTTTCCTTTTTATCGGTACCAGGGATCGAACTCACGACTGCCTGCTTGCAAGGCAGGTGCTTATGCCGCTGAGCTAAATCCCCGGCCCCAAAGAACAAATTCTTACACGATTCTTACGCTTTTTTTGTTACAAATGAAGATTTCACTGTGTCTTTTTGGACTTTTCACTGTATTATCTTGGACTAGAAAATTCTTTGGCATTAACTTCATTTTGCATTTTAATTCCAAAATCCTCCAGTTCAGTCTTTGTGATCTGAGAAATATCTTGTCAGTTAGACTCTAAGTCTGTTTAACTGCATTTTTACAAACCTCCAGATATTAGTTAACAAAATAAAGATGACATCAGCTCCGAGATTGCTCCTGTGCAGACCTATGAGTGTGTTTTCATTTGTTTGGAGGCACAAATGTATTACAGACAAGACAGAAAAGGGACCATGTGAAAACAAGACATGGACAAAACATGCGCTCGGTTCTTAAGTCCACCTTGGGGAGTTATTTTGCAAAAGGTGAGCATGAAAAATTGAAGGAAAAGAAGGCTGAAAAACAGGAGGAGCTGGGCGTGGTGGCACATGCAGAGGCCGGAGGATTGCTGAGAGTTGGAGGGGTCCACGGTTAATTCAAGGCCAGCTTGAACTGCGTATCAAGACCCTACTTCAGAAAAACATTTTTTAAAAAAGGCAGTAGAATGGTGATATATTTACTTAGTCATAGAAAATAATAAATTTTGTTAATACCACTGATTGCCTGTGTTCTGCAGAAAAGATTAAGAAGATACTAAAATTTTAACTCATGGGAAGAAAATGTATTTTAAAAAAATAGGAATGGGGCTTTTAAAAAGTTTCTCAAACTCTAGGCAATTTTAGAATTGTGAAAGCAATCATGCGTTCCATAAGAGTACTCAGGGCTTTCTGCCAGCA